TTTATGAAAATGAAAATTCTCACATTGACTTGTGTTTCTAGATTGAATTTCTTCCATGTTAGAACAGAACAACAATGCAATAAGAAATCTAAAAAGGAAACCAAAAGTCTTCCCTGGTAAACTCGGTGGTTCTTCTTCTTCTTCCATCGTCGTCTTCCCCGCCGCACACAAGGGTTCCTGATTCAACGCGCTCTCTCTCTTTGTTCCTAAAACGTGGCAAATTTGAATATGCTCTATATATATATATATAAAGTTGAAATCCACAAAAACAATATATATAATAAAGTATCATACAAAACGAAAATACGACGTCATTAAAAAATTAAAAGTTTATTGTCTTTTAATTACGGTTTTGCATTCTTCTTTAATGGTGTTAGTATAAAATAGATAAACCAATCAATAAAGTAACGTTAAAAATAACTAATTAAATACGTTAATAGAACAATAATTTAATAATTTACGTTATGTTCACTTTTTTTTGATAAATTTGATTTTTTTTGGAATGACCTAATTCATAACAAAATGATAATTTTAAAATATTGAATTGATTTTAAAATATTAAAAATCAATTTGATAATTTAGTAAGAAAAATATATATATTATTTATTATCTTTTGATTTAGAATGACTAGTTAATATAGGTTATTTGTCACATCATTATTAACGCATTCTCCGAGGAAAACCACCCTGATCCCCTATCAAAAAAATTCCCAATTCCCCTTTTGGGGCTTCGACTCTCACATAAAGTTCTTGTTTCGCCAACTCAAAAGTTGGAGAAGGTTTTTTTACTAATGAATCGATAGTCAAAGTCATTCCATTYCGGAGACCTTTCTCGATCAAAACATCGTATTTCTAAATTCTCATAGGGCCCCCCTGGAATTCCTTCCAAAGCTTGTTGAATAATTTTTATGGATTCCGTCATCTCACCAAGTCTGACTAAATAACGAGTTAATGAATCTCCTTCTTTTTGCCACTGAACTTCCCAATCCCGTTAGGTCGACTTAATTTAGAGACCAATTATAAATTAAATTGAAACCTCAGGTATCAAATATAAAACCAAACTCAAACTCATCGACTAATTATAAACTAAATAAAAATGGTAGTTTTTTAAATTTAGGTACTAAATAGAAATCCACAAAAATGTATTTTACCATATATACTATTATACTATGGTATTTTTAAAAATAAGTACAAATCCAACAATTGTATTTCTTTTTTTCTTTTTTGAACGGCCAGCAATTGGTTCACGAACCTAGGTATATTATAATTCTTAACAATTTCAAAACATTCAACCAAACTTTGTAGTTGCACTAAATCGAAGAGGAATTAATATATATAAAAAAAAACAAAATTGAAATTCATTAAGAACCATAAAAGTCTCTAAGATTCAATGGCCTCGCAAGCAAAATATGAACACTAAATATTGGCCTATCTACCAATTTGATTACACTAAATAACTCCATAACAATCAATTAAAGCAAAACTCTTATCAATAATTCAACAAATTTTATTAATTAAGATTGAGCTCGTCCAACAACTAACTACCTCTGAAAGATCTGTTTCATTTTAGGACATCCAAGATTAAGTGAATGAATATATAATTGAAGAAATAACTTGATAAAGGAATACAATTAAAATTAAACTAAAAAATAAAGTGAACCAACAATCAATTTAAAAACAAAATCTTAAAATAAATTAATTTAACTTATCGTTAAAAAAAATAATAATAACAAATCGAATAAATTCCCCTAGATATTGATGAAAAGGCATAAACTAACCACAAGTCTCAAATTTAGATGTTATGAGCATAAAATGAATTTTTATCGAAGTTGTCGTTTTGCATCGAAGCCACGAAGGGATTAGAGGTTGGTGAAGGAAGATGAGTTGTGAGTGATTACCTTGGAGACGATGACTCGGTACTATTGGATTGCAGATAATACCATCAAATAAGTCGATGTTGGACTATAATCCAAGGTACTACCATTAATCTAATTTTAAAAAGAATTAAATTTAGTTTAAATTTTTAAATGTTGAATAATAATTGGTTAAAATGATTTTCTTTTATCAGTTTGTTTTAAGATTTTGGTAGTTAATTTTAGTTTAAAGTTTTTTTTAACTTTTTTAATTATATCTTTCTGTGAGATTTTGATAGATTTTTTTTAGTTAAAATTAATTTAAAGTTTGTTTTTTAAATAATAGATTTTTTCAGATTTTACGATTGTGTTAGATTTTTTTAGTCAAATTTAATTTAAGGTTTGTTTTAAACAATAAACATAGAATTTTGGGGGTATCACGTATGGATAAGGAGATTTTGTAAAACAAAAACAATTACAACACAGAAAAAATGCAGAAGTTGTCGTCTCTAGTATTGGGATTTAGGGAAAAAAAAGTAGGCCAAACTATTTTCCAATATTATTCTTGAAATGATCGAGCATAATTTTTTAAATAGTTTAAGAAAAAACAATACTAAAACAAAAAGGTCCTTGACTAATGAGGTTGGATTTTATATTAGTAAATTCTCCCAATTTTTCACTAATATATATATATATATATATATATATATATATATATATATATATATATATATTATCCTAATTTTATACTTAAATCTACGTATTATTACATGTCTATCCGTCTATTGTGAATTATGTTTTTTTAGTTCAATAATAGGCTGGATGAAAATTCAAACCTCTAATATTGAGGTGTAAGGTTCTCTAACAATTTGAATTATACTAATTTACTTTTGATTGGTTTGTTGTCCTTATTTGGGGTTATGATGCATTTTTTTAGCACGTGATGAGTTCGTGTTCTTGCAATATACTTTACTTTTGACGATCCATCATGTTTTAGTTGCCAAATCTGTAAACATTGAAACAATTTGGCAATTTTACTTTTTTGTTAAACAACTAGAGAGTGTATATTGAATCATAAATCTTGAGATGACAATAACTCTAATTTAATATCTATTGAGGTATACTTGGAATTTACTAACAATATAATTTAACTTTTTTTTTCGAAAATTTGAAAAACCATGTAGTATATAGACATTATTAAAATTTTATTTATTTATTTGATTAAATTACAGACAAATAATTCTCTTTCTTTATTATCAATCAAATGACTCTTCGAGACCCGATATTATATTTTATCATCAATCTATTAACTAGTCACATTTTTTATTTTTCTATCAATGAATATATCTCTTTACTTGTATGATTTAGATGCTTCAATATGATTATTGGGAGTAAGTGCTATAGTTTGATTCCAATACTCATCAACTTTATTGAATCAAGCATAGGAACGACTAACTGTATTTTATTTGTGGACAAGTTAGAGTTTGAGAAACAAATATCTTTGGTAACTTTTATTGTCAACATCGTCTTATTCATTTGCAAAAATAAGACTCAAAATAATAATGATTCAGTTATTAGGCCCTGAAACTGTGGGATGTAAAAATTGAATAGGGGAGTGTTATGCCTTACATTTCAGCTTGGTCATTTGTTTTTAAAAAAATTATATAATTTCAAACGTTGCCATATTTAAACAAACATTAATTAATATTTTAAAAGGAAAGTTGACGTGTCATGATATGAAACAACATAACAATCAATGTTAACGAGTAAGAACAATTAACGTCCTCCTCTCCTTAGTGGTTTGGACAATATAAACATTCTTCATGATGAGACAATTAACGTATCAGTAATTCTTCTAGTCCCCTCTTCCCTTGGTAAAAAAATAATATACTTAAACGTAATTGTTTATTTAATTGTTTCCGATAGGTTTCTACATCTTTCTAGATTCTATTGCGTCAAACCCTTTCTCAAAATATTAAAGAATACTTACTAACATATTTTATAAACAAATATCAACG